TCAGCTTCTCTTCCATAGAAAAAACTGGGACCCAAGAGTGAAAAAGGAAGGAAAATGGAACTGAGGTATGCATACAGGGGTAGAAGCAGCACAGATCTCTTGGTTCTTTTCCACACAGGTTCTGGTTAAGGATGAAGACCCAGGAAAAGTGCTACCTCCAGCTCCCTGATATGATCAACTCGGATCTCTCGGGCACTTGTAGGGCAGAGAGAACAAGTGAGGGGGGGAGGTGAAGAGGGGAGCAAGAGGTTTCCTGGAAAGATGTATCATTCTCTTCTTCCTTTGGGAAGGTGCTATGATTAACTTCAACACCATCATGCAAAATTTTCCCTTCCAACTGGGGACATTTATAGCCCATGAGGCTGGATCTTCCCAAAGACTGGGTATGTCTTCCCGTTGGCTGTGCCTCCTTAGGGATGGGCCTACTCTCTTCTAGATCCTTCTTAGCACTGGCCCAGAGAGCGCCATACCCAGGACATTCTCTCCTGGCTAGGCTGGGTCCCATTCATAAAAGAACAGGATAGATAAGGTCTGCCTGGAACGTCCAGCATGGGCAACCCCATGGAACAGGAAGGTGGAATGTGGGACTGCTCTGGATTATTCTTCCTAACCCCTAGGAAGAATCACCAGGGATGAGGGAGGGACATACCTTCACACCTGGGCAGGGGGTGGTCCCAGTTCCGGTTGGTGCCATGTTGACATGTGAGGACAGGGTGGCCAATCAGTTGATATCCTGGGAGGCACTCAAAGGTCACTGACTGTCCAACGTTGTAGCCAGCTCCCCTCACAATGCCATTGGCAAAGGGTTCTGGGTCTGGGCACTCTTGGAGTTCATAGGCTGGAAACAATGAGGAGAGAAAGTCACTGTATTCTCTCTGAATATTTTTTTCTACAACCAGAACATAGAAGCAGCAGAGACTTATCACAGTGGTGAAGTACCAAGACTTGGACTCAGATGGACCTTGGTTACTAACTGTCAGCCGGAAAAGTTATTTAACTTCTCTATATCTCAGTTTTCTTATATATAAAATGGTGATTGTGAGGATTAAGTAAGATAATTAATACATGCACAGCTCTCTGCACAGTGCTGGCACATGGTAAGAGCTCAATAAATGTTATCTATTATTATAGCCAGTGGAATCCTGGATGGTGCAAATGATTAAGTGCTCAACTACTAGTTGAAAGGTTAGCTGTTTGAACCCATTCAGAGGTGCCTTGGAAGATCTGGCTGACAATCTGCTTCTGAAAGGTCACAGCTTTGAAAACCCTATGGAGCAGTTCTACTCTGCACACATGGGCTCACTATGAGTTGGAACTGACTCAATGGCAGCCAACAAAAACAATATTACATCCAGGTCCATAGTGGCACAATCTGCTTTCATTAAGACCCCATTAAGATTACAGCCAAGAAAACCCTATGGAGCAGTCCTATTCTGCTATGCAAATCATATGCGATTACAATGAGTCAGAACTGATTTGATGACAAAGATGGGTTTTGGGGTTTATTATTATACCCATGGGAAAGGAGGCTCAAGGAAGACACTGCTAGATTAAAACATTCTTTATTGAGCACCTACATGGGGCCAAGTATCCACCCAGGTTCTTTCATCTTGCTTATCTCATTTAACCATCTCAACAATTATTATGATCACAAACAGGAAGCAGTGGGGTGAGGATATAAGTGGCGTCTTTCTGATTCCTAGAAATTAGAAGCTATTGGGAAGGAAGAAACCTCGGTGGGAGCAGGCCAACCCTATGGCAAGGGGAGAAACTTTTCAGAGGGAAGAGCTGGGCTAAAAGGAATGGGAGACTGTCATGCAAGGCAAGTCCCTCAAAATGGCAGGAAAGCTGCTTCCATGGGAATGGGTGGGCCTTACTCAAAAGAAGACAACTTAGTGGAAGTAGCGGGGGCCCGTCAAAAAAAGCAAGGGATTGTTGAGCATGTGCCACAGAGCAAAGTCTTCAATTATCTGGGTCCCCAGGGCAAAGAATGGCCTTTGTGGCAGTCACTGGGCCCACCCTACCCAGGAAATTGGCAGTGGGAACACAAGGAACTTTCCTAGAGTGGAAATTCTCAGTGAGAGTAGCAGATTTCAAGTGAATCCTCCATGAAAAGTGGATGCATGTTGGATGTGTTGTGTTTCCACTCAATATTGTACAGAGAATTCTCAGTGGGAAGAACTGGGTAGGTTTCACTTGAAATCATCAGGTTAACTGGGCGCACTAAAATGCTAGAAGCTGTAGTGGGAGTGGTTGGACTGGTCAGCCAAAGGAGAGATGGCAGCAGCTTGGGTTTGGGAGATTTCAGAGATGAAAGCTTTAGTAGAAGCAGTGCACCTGTTACACAGGTAACACAGGGTAAATGGATGTGGGATGGGCTTTACTCTAAAGAGAAGCTTCAGGGAGAACATGTGGCCCCAAAGACAGTGAAGTACCTAAAAAGACTACCCACTGCTGATGAGTTGATTCTGACTCGTAGTGACCCTATAGGACAGAGTAGAACTGCCTCATAGGGTTTCCAAGGAGTGGCTGGTGGATTCAAACTGCCAACCTCTTGGTTAGCAGCCAAACTCTTAACCACTGTGCCACCAGGGCTCCACGCATGTGTTAAAAGCCAGGAGCAGCCTTAATGAGAGTAGCTGTGTCTCTCTCATACAAATTGTCTTGAGTGGAAGGAGCTGGGCTTTTCAAAAAGAGACACTTTAGTGAGAGTACCTCAGTTGCTTTTATGTTGAGAAAAATCTCAGAGCCTCTTCCACCAGAAGAAGCTTCACAGAGAGAGGTTGGTCCTATAGAACAGAAATAAATCCTAAGAGGAGGACTCATTAACTTTCCCAGAGAAGGGCTCCTCAGTGAGAGTAGCTGGTTTTTTTCCCAAAGGGAGATGCCATAATTAAAAATAAGAATGATATACTTAACATTTTAGAACAATTATATGTCTTAGTCATTTTGTTTCTTTATAAACACCATCCTCCTGAGAAGTTCTGGTGAAATAAGTTATGCCCAGCAGACTGGGAGGCCTTGGTAGGGGTAGCTTATACTGTCACTAAAGATTCTGTGAGAACGTTTGCATGAAGAAGGGAAAAGAAAACCACAGGAAAAGAAGAAAGAAAACCACAGACTAGGAAGTTCAGAGTGTTCAATCAGTGGAATCTTGGGAAAGAGTAAGGAGTTGGATCTCTTCCAAAGAAAGTTGAGGAGCTGGGCCTGCTTGATAGAAAGCGCCTCAGTGGGGACAGGCAGCTCTTTCACGAAGCTGGGTCTTTCCATAAAGGAAAATCCTGAGGTGAGTGGTTCGAGCTTGTTTCACAAGGTACAATCCCATAGAGCTAGGAAAGATGTAAGTGGAGAATGTAGGCCTACTGGTTCAGGAGAATTATCTGGCCTATCACAAATTGGGAGGCCTCAGTGGGAGTACTTGGGCCTCTGACACTAGTTGACAATTTAGTACCTGAGGTTGGGATCATTATAAAGGGGATGGAAGCCAAGCTCAAGTCTGAGGAGGAACAGCTGATCTGACACCAAGTGGAACTCTCCAGAAGTCATTAGAAATTATAGTGGGTTGAAGGGCAGCCCCCTAAAAAATATATCCTCCTGGAACCTGTGAATGTGACCTTATTTGAAAAAAGCAGTTTTGTAGATATAATTAAGTTAACAATATTGAGATAAGATCATCCTGGATTACCTGGGTGGGCCCTAAATCCAATAACATGTGTCCTTATAAGAGAAGACACAGACAGGGGAAGAGGACACAGAGGAGAAGACGAGGTGAAGACAGAGGCAGTGATTGTAGTGATGTGTCTCCAAGCCAAGGAGTGCCAGTGATTGTCAGCAACCAACAGAAGCTAGGAGAAAGGCACCAAACGGGTTCTTCCTCAGAGCCTCCAGAAGAAACCAACCCTGCTGACACCTTGATTTTGAACTTATGGCCTCCAGAACTGTGAGGGAAAAAAATTCTGTTTTAAGCCACCGGTTTGTGGTAATTTGTTGTAGTAGCCTCAGGAAACAAATACAGGACTGCTGCACAGGGGCAGCACAGAGGGAGTAGCCAGGCCTGTGACCTCAATGGGATCATCTAAGTGAGGGGAGGTGGACCCATCACAGAATGGAAACTCAAGGGGCTGTAGTTGGGCTTCTCATACAGGTAGCTGGTGGAGGTGATGGACTTCTGAAGGTACATTCAGAACTCCCAGCCCCCGTCCAACCCCCCTACACAGGGGAAATCCTCAGGAGGAGGACTGGGTTACTGGCTTATACACATGAAGCCTCAGTGGGAGTAACAGGCACCGCACAGAGAGGAACATTATCTGAGAGTGCTGGCCTGTTGTTCTTCAGAGGGATCCCTGGGCCCCTCATGCAGGGGAAGCCTTAAGTAGTACTTCCCAAAGCCAAAGGCTCAGAGAGTGTGGGTGTGTCTGAGCCCCAGGTCAGGGCTCTGTGGGAGTAGTTAGGTCTCTTCTACAGAGGAGGAGTCGGTGGAGATCTGAGCTTGCCATAGGACAGCCTTCACAAGGACAAGTGGGCTTATCATGCAGGAATTGCAGTTGAGAGGGCTAGTCCCACTACATGGACTTAGTGGGCAGAGCTGTGCCCATCACAGGGATAAAGGCAGGCACAGCCCATGTGGGTGGACCCGAAAGCAGATATTCTTCTCACAAGGGTGAGGAGAAGCTTCAGGCAGAGCCCTCGGGTCTACCACCGGGGAAGCCTTTGGGGGAGGAGCTGTGTCTGTCTCAGAGAGGAATACTGACCAAGTACTAGGTCCAAGTCTCACCTGTGACAGACTACCACCCGTTTTACAGGCCCCATGCTTCCAGCTGAGGGTGCGTGTGTCCCACAGGTGCTCTTAGTTAAGGTTGGCTTCTGTGACAGGTGCACACGCACACTGAGGCTCCCTGGGTGTAGCAGCTTCATTTCCACCAACTAAGCAGGACTCTCTGGGTGATAGGCACGGCCTCTCCCCTGAAGCTTCACTGGTGTGAGAGGCCCAACTCCTACTGAGGCTTCCCTGCAGGCTAACCACTCATCCACTCTCGCTGAAGTTTCCTCCAAGCTAGACTCAAGCACTCTGAGCAGGCATCATCGCCTGTATAACTGGTCCAACTGCACCCACTGAGCAGAAACACCCTGTAAGGATTTCCCTAAATGACAAGCCCGAATAGTCAGTATTCCTCTCTGTCAAGAAAGGAGCTCCAAGCCATATTCTCTCCAGAATAAAAAGATAAGTTTCAGAACATTATGTATAGTATGGTACTCTTTATATAGAAAATACAATTAAAAAAATTCATAAAACATGACATATTTTTCACAGGTACGTACAACCTGTGGATGTGGATGTATGGAAAAAGATCTGGAAAGATCACACCAAAATAATGGTGGCTCCTTCTGGGGAATAATCCTGGGTTTGGAGGCTGTAGACAAAGAGAGCTTTATCCTTAGCTGTAATGTTTTAATCACTTTCTTTTTTTATTTTAACAAGGTGACCATATTTGTGAATTGTTTTTGTAATTAAGAATTAACTTTAAGAAGCAAGTTGCAAAAAATGTGTATAGTATCCAATTTTGGGTAAAAATATAATAATAAAGCTACATCAACATATGCACAGAAAAAAATGGGGAAATACAGTTGATCCTCATTGTTTGTGAACTTCATATTTGCAAATGTGCCTACTTGTTAAAATTTATTTGTAACCCCAAAATCAATACATGTGGTGCTTTTACGGCCAAACGTGTGCAGAGTGGCACAAATTTTGAGTTGTCCAATATTCCTAGCTGAGGTCTAACTGGGCAGCTCTCTGTCTTCTTTCAGCTCATACTGTAAACAAGTGTCCTTTTAGTGGTGTGCTCAGCGTCACGGTTTTCATACTTCCGTATTTTTTGTTGGTGAAGTCACTGTTTAAAATGGCCCCAAGCATAGTGCTGAAGCGCTGTCTAGGGTTCCTGAGCACAAGAAGGCTGTGATGTGCCTTACGGACAAAATACGTGTGCTAGATAAGCTTCATTCAGGTGTGAGTTACAGTGTTCTGCCATGAGTTTAATGTTAACAAACCAACTTATATTAAATAAGATCTGTTTAATCAGAAACACACATAAAACAAGCTCAGGTACTGATTGGTTGATGAAAATGTCGCTATCGGAAGCTCACGGAACCTAACCCTGTGTTGCACTTTGGAGCAATGGTTCAGCATTTGCTAATTCAGTGTTAACGGTAACTTTACTGAACGTAACTACCGCGAGTAACAAGAATTGACTATGTATACCAAATTGTTAATAGTCAGTATCTCTGAATGGGGTGGGGTGTACTGGGGGTGGAGATGGGATTATGGGAAAATTCTGACTTTCTATGATGTGCTCACAAAAACGTCTGTAATGTTTTAATTTTTTTACAAGCTTGTGCTAGTATTGGGGAAAAAAATCTAAAACTATGGAAAAATTTCCTATTATGCTGGGAAGAGAGGTTAGAACAAATAGTTCAGTCAGTCACACGGGGGAAGCACCGGAGAAAGAAGCTGGACCGAGTCAGAGCCATTGTGTACAGTTGCATACAAAGGTTGTACATAATTCTCACAACCACGCAGGACAGCCCGTCACACAGCGAAGCTTGACTGAGTCAGAGTTGATGGGGCTCTTTCAGGGAAAACGCACCAGGAGGAGTGGGGCCTGTCACAAGATTTTACCTCAGTAAGGTAGAGCCGCAGTGAGTGTGGTTGGGCCTCGTACAGGAGAACCCTCAGTAGTAGTCAATGAGCCCATCTCATTGCACAAGACTCAGTGGGCACTCCGGGGACTGTTACCAGAATCCTCCATCGTCGGAGGAGCCTTGTGAGCATAACTGGGCCTGACACACAGGGGAAGACCCAGAGGGAGTAATTAAGCCTGAGGGCAGGTGGCTGGCCAGACACTCAGGGGATGCCTGAGAGGGAACAGATGGGCCACTTGCCCAGTGAAAGCTGTTTGCTGTCGGCTTTGTGCAGAGGTGTACGGCGGATGCTGTTGGGCCAGCCACCCTGACAAAGGCCATGTGAGAATTTAAGCTTGTAAAACAGGGGTATGAAGAGATCTGCTACCAAAGGGAAGCCTCACTGCACAGGTCTGTCCCCTCACCCCCAACCCTTCCTGAAGCCTCTCTTGCTCTCACACGGAAGGCTGGGAAGATGGGTGATTGTAGGTAAGAAATGGGGACATCCAGAGGAGCAAATGGGCACTTGTCCTCACCCTGATATTCCAGCTTGAATCCTGGCCGGTTTTGGGAGTGGTCACTGTGGAAATACACGGTGGTCTCATGGGACGTGGAGAGCAGGGAGCTGGGAAGCTCGCTTCCACTGAATCTCCCCATCATGCGGCTGGTCTCGTAGGGGCCGTTCCGGATTTCTAGGAAATCATGGTTGGGCTCGGTGGAGAAGTTTAGGAACTGGATGTGAGCTCCTGGGAGCGAGACAGAAGCAAGATGGTATCAAAGGCAATACAGGACTGCTTCAAATGTGCCGCCCATGAAAGCATTTCCTGCCAGAGCCCCTAATGCTCTGAGCACCCACCTGTCCCTCCCACTGAATCAGCGTTCCCAGAACACACACTGGGAGATGCTGATCCAGTCAATCTCTTGTCTTCAGGCAGGAATAAACTTAAAAGTACATTATTCATTCAAAAGTAAAGGCATTAGTCATTTCAGAGCTCTAGCCCAAACCCATTTATTTTATTGAAAACAAAGTTCAGGGCCAACACTTGACTTACTTTGTGATTCATATTTCTAATATCGGTATAAAGATAGCTTTGCTAAAATAAACTTTTTATTTAAAAATAACACCACCCCGCAATCCATCAAAAGACATGACCTTTAGTGATGGAATTTTCTAGAATACTTGAGATAATTTAGAAATATAAGACTTAGAAATATACATTGTCTCATCTGTGCCATGAAGAAGCAAAGAGAAGGTTATTCTTTAGAATCTTACTGGGCTAATCAAGATCTCCTGACAACCTGAGAGGTGAAATGGATCTAGTTAAGCCTTTAGCTTACACATTAATATACTCTTTGGGAGCCCTGGTGGTGCAGTGGTTAAGAGCTATGGCTGCTAACCAAAAGGTTGGCAGTTTGAATCCACCAGGGGCTTCTTGGAAACCCTATGGGGCAGTTCTACTCTGTTCTATGAGTTGGAACCGACTCAATGGCACCTAACAACAACATACTCTTTGGAGTATGAGTATGGAGGTACAAATATTAATATTTGTTTACTGATAGCTTTTATCAAAATTAGATTACTATAAAAAGTTATGTTAAAGAAATATATTAACAAAGTATAGGACAATGTCCATAACGTATTATTAATTGTGAAAATCAGAATGCAAAACGGTATGTACTATATAATTCTAATTTTACTCACTAACAATATTTACTAAGCATTTACCATGAGCCTGGGCTGTGCTAGGCATTGCACAGGGATGAATGGGATCAACAGTCCTTGTCTTCATGAGGGTTACATTCTAATGGTGGAGGACTAAGCTCTTAGTTAGTGATTATCTCTGCATGATGGATTATAAATGATTTTAATTTTTAAAATTTGCTCATCTGTATTTTCTAATTTGTTTAGAATGAGCACATGTGTAACTTCTTTTGCATCTGATTATTTAAAAAACAAAATAAAGACAACATATACGTCATGTTAAACCCCCTTTATCCCCTGCCCTGTCCCGTTCCCTCCTTCCTTCCACTGAGGCTATCTTTCTCATGAATTTGGAAGCTATCCTTCCAGCTCATGTTTTTAGATTCTCAGATACATATATTTTGGTTTATTTGTTTTAAATGTTTACAATAAATGATATTATACTGTACGTACAGTTTTGCAAATTTCTTTTTTACTCGATAGCGTGTTTTCAACGTCTAGTCACGTTGCCATGCACGGATATAGTTCGTTCATTTTAACTGAATATTAATTAACTCCATCTTATGAATTATCCAACCACACTTCAGTCACTCCCCTATTAATGAACATGTAGATTGTTTCCAAATTAGATAATATTGCAGTGAACATCTCTGCACCTGTCATCTGTGGAACTAGTGCTTTCCATTCCACCGTCTAAGCATCTTTCCCACACCAGTGAACACAGGGTGTATATCCATCAAAACCAAACCCGTTGCCGTCGACTTGATTCTGACTCATAGCAACCCTACAAGACAGAGCAGAACTGCCCCATAGGGTTTCCAAGGAGCAGCTGGTGGATTTGAACTGCTGACCTTTTGGTTAGCAGCCTGACCTCGTGACCACTGTACCGTCAGTGCTCCACATATTCATCAAAGGGGCTCTTTATAAAGATTGAAGAATTTCTGAATTGAACTGAGAGGAAAGAACTGGACTGTGACCACCATCTAGTGGCAGAAACATGTAAACATAGTGGCTCTTTACATGTACATACGTACATATATACCCATTGCCATTGAGTCAATTCTGACACACAGTGGCCCTATAGGACAGAGTAGAACTGCCCCATAGGGTTTCCAAAACTGTGATCTTTATGGAAGCAGACTGCCACATCTTTCTCCCCTGAAGTGGCTGGTGAGTTTGAACTGCCAACCTTTGGGTTAGCAGCTGAGCACTTAACCACTGCACCACCAGGGCTCTTTGGTGGCTCTTTAGGCACACTGAAACCAGGTGCTATATTAGGGTCCTCACTGGAATCCAACATTCACTTGGAATCAAGGAGTCCTGGCCTCCTGAGACTGGGCCCTGCAGTATGCTTATTCCCCAGAGGCTGGATAAGCACCCAGGACTTAGAGCTCTGGCGGCTGAACATCAGGATTTACAGAGCACAGTGCTGTACTTCTCTTTTAAACTTCTGCTTTCTTTTGGATGTTGCCCTCTCTCTTTCTCTATCAGCTGAGGTTCTTTTGGTCTTCTAGGTCTTTTTATCTCAATGTCTCAAAATCTGGAGTTTCCCAAAGCTGCCAGTCATCATAATTTTTACATCCTGATCCTTTGTCCCTTGTTTCCTTCAGAAGCAGGTACTAAAAATAAGACTCCATCCTTTGGAGGGTCACCAACCTCTTTCCCTCATTCAGAGCAGATTTAGAGAAGGTGGGTTGGAGCACCTTCTCCCGGAAGCCCTATCTCTAGCCAGAAGACCCACTCCAGGCTGAATAATAAGGGACAAGTTGACCGTCTTCATTCCCAAGGCTATCAGACTGGGAGCCCCCTGGCCTGAGTAGTCCCCTTGGGACACTTCTTTCCTAGGAGCAGAGCAGCAACTCGGGCAAGGTAAACTACATGCACAGTCCATCAGCTTGATGTCAACACAAATCCTTTATCCCTTCAGAAGAGATATTTGGGGTTAAACTATAGTCCCAGTGTACAATGCATGATTCATCAGTGATTACATTTTGTATCCAGATCAATGTCCTTCCTCCCCCTCCACCTTCTCCACCTCCCTTCCCATGCTTGGCAGGCTCCATCACCACCAACAAAACCTCTCCCGACCTCTAGGCCAGCTAGCATGTGCATATGAAGAATGCAAACTCAATTTCATATTGACCTTGGCTCAATTTAATTGGGGTGATAAATCTGATCTTGGAGTTAAAGGCACAACTTGAGGTCCAGTCTCTGTAAAATACATTTTTTTTTCTTTTTTAACCATCTTCTAGTAATTTCTCATTCCATATTCTTGGTTTTTAGCTCACTACTCAAACAATAATCATGGCAACCCTAATATTTTCCCCCTTACATTAAATGTTTCTAAAGGACTTTCATCTCTACTATTTTTAATTGATACTCACACTTGTACAAGAGGTAGACAGAGACATATGATTATCTTCATTTTGCAGATGAGGAAGCAGAGAGGTAGAAAGCTCAACTGTCTTGGCTAAGGTTATGCTGAGAGACTGTGGCAGACGGTTTAATTAAACCTAGTGGTCCGGACAGAAACCCTGGTAGTGTAATGGTTAACTGCTATGACTAGCAGTTCGAATCCACCAGGCACTCCTTGGAAACTCTATGGGGCAGTTCTACTCTGTCCTGTAGGGTTGCTATGAGTCGGAATCAACTCAATGGCAATGGGTTTTGGGGTTGGGGTCTGGGGTGAGAAGGCTCTGTCTCTAAGGGGTTGGGGAGACTTACCAAAACCCACGGGAAGTGCTATCTTCCAGGAGCAGTCCATGTTGCTGGGGTAGTTGCCTGGGAAGCCTGGGCTCAGGATCACCCCCTCCATCTCTTCCACTGCTCCCCCACACTGCGCTGTGACAATGACAGTGACAGAGTGTTAGGACACCATCAAGGAGAATACAGGGCCATGCCAACTTTAGGAAGTTCTCTCAGAGCAACAGCTTTTGTTTTTTTTTTTTAAATTTTGGTGAGAATATACAGTTATACACCATTTGAACAATTTCTGCATGTACAACTCAGTGACATTGATTACACTCTTCAAGTTGTGCAAACATTCTCACCATTCTTCTCTAAACTGTTCTGTCACCATTGACTTAAACTCACTGCCTCCTAAGCTTCTCATCTAACCCTTTGAGTTGTTGCTATCAATTTGATCTCACATAGGTAATTCTTTAAAAGAGCACAATGTTCAAGGCAGACATACTTTACTAACTAGCTAAGCTATTTTTTGGTTCAAAGAAGACTTCAGGGGTTAGTTTTGGTTTAAGGTTTAAAGTTTAAAGATTATCTTGGGGTAATGGTTTCAAGGATTCATCCAGCCTCAATGGCTCCAGAAAGTCTGAATTCCATTGAGAATTTGAAAATCTGTTCCACATTCTTCCCCCTTTTGATCAGGATTCGTCTATAGAATCTTAGATCAAAACGTTTAGTAATGGTAGCTGGCACCAGCCAGTTCTTCTGGTTTCTTGGCAAAGGAGGCAGTTGTTCATAAAGGTAACCAGATGCTCGATCTGTTTCTTCCTCCAATTCCTGACTCTCCTTCTTTTTCTGTAGAGCAACAGTTTTTAACCTTCCTTGAGTCATAAACCCCTTTAAGAATCCATAGGGATCTGTAGTTCCTCTCCCTAAAAACTGCAAACACAAACAAAATTGAGTAGGAAATATCAGAAAGGGAAGCACATTCTTAGACTTCCCAAGGGTCTGTGAACACAAGTTACAGGCTCTTGACCCAGAGCTTGCCCTTCTCAGGTCAGATCCCTTAGTGGGGACACACAGTAAAGGTGACAGTGGCCTGCTCCAAGAGAAGTCTGACCATTCTATACACTAACCCCACAATCTCCCTCCCCTCACTGCTCAATCAACTTGTCCAAGATTGAAGAAAAAGGAACAGGGAAGAGGACTTGCATGCACTGAGGCCCCACTCTGTGGCAGACCCTGTGCCGACATATATTCCATGGGGTGGGTGGTTACCACTGTGCACCCACCCTCAGAACTCTGACATGGTTCACCCTTGGCCTCCTGGAAGCTCATACAGAGTGACTGTGATTAGCATTCCATGGGGAGCCGACCACAAAGCTGAGAAGGGGTAACCGCTGGGACATGTGAACCACCAATCAAGGTGACTTCAGAGACAAAGGGTATTTACGGCTGGGTTATACTGCAGCCTGACCAGTAGACATCAGTTCTTTTCTCTCACATCTTTCAAGGAAAAGGCTGTGTGAGCAGAAAGGGACTGGTGAGTCAGGAAAGCTCAGAAAAGGGAACAGAGTGGAGGCATTGGCAGTGCTCAGGCAAGCCCCTCTGGGAGAGGGCAACCTAGGCAAGCTGACCTGTGCACAAGGGGAACAGCGTGGGGCTTCGGAGTGTGGGCTCGGCATCTGCCTGCCGGGGTCACAATCCCAATACTTCCACTTCCTGTGTGACCTTGGGCAAATTCTAAACCCTCCAAGCCTCAGTTTTCCCAACTGTAAAATGGAGCTGCTAACAGCATCAACCTCATGGTGGTAGTGTGTTAGGAGGGTTAAATGAGAAAGAACTGCATTTCCTCTGGAACTGGGGCTGACATACACAGTATGTCAGTAAACCATAGCTGCTGTTAATATGAGTGGTTTCCTTGGTGAGGCCTTCATAACATATAATCGGGGAAAGTACCTGGGCCGACCAGTCATATTTCTGATCTGCCTGGCTGACTACCAGACCCCGCCCCCTGGTGAAGTCACAGGAGGGATATGCCATCTTGCCCAAGTGACACTCTCCTGACTCACTTCCGACTCCAAGGTCAGCGCTGGGCTGCACGTTGCAATTGGGCATCAGGCAAACTTGGGTTTCCATTCCTGACTCTGCCCTTCTCTTTTTAATCCCAAGAGTCTTTGTTTTCCTATTTGGAAAATGAGGACAACACG